GAGTGCTATTAAATGTCTCTGTAGATTTATTTCTCAACAATCCAACATGGATCTGGAAGATGTGAACTATGAGTATATGCATTATAAGTTATAAAACCAGTGTAATGTATAAGAACAAAATCTTTACAACTTCAATGGATTTATTTAACCTTGATTTTGAATAGCAAGCAGAAAATTGGATTTTTTTTTTCATTTTAAACTGAAGAGCATTTAAGGTATCTGCTTAAGGACAGTAACTGGGAGTGGAATTTGTGTGCTAAGCAATGTGTGTGCATAGTATGACATCATTTGACCACATCACTTATTAATGTGCAATCTCAATGGTGTAAATACTTTGCTTTTTATCTGCATCTTCTGTGTCCTAAATTCAAATCTGAATTTAGATGATATATAAATAGATACCACTTAGAACAGTGGTGGTGAACCTATGGCATGGGTGCCAGAGGCGGCACTCAGAGCCCTCTCTGTGGGCACCAGCGCCGTCGTCCCAGTCCTAGGTCTTCAGCTGGGTTTTATAAAACCTTTTTGCTTTAGGCTTCTGCTGCCGTGTACAAAAAAAAAAAAAAAAAAAAAGGTTCAATCAATCAGTCAATTTCAACTTCTCTCCAGAAAAAAAAAGATCTTGCAAAGTTGGAATTGATTGATCAAACTTTTTAGTCCCACCCAGTCTGCCGTTACCACTGTAGCCATGCCCACCCAATGGGCCACACCCACCCGGCACCCGACGATGCATAAGTGGGTTTTGGGTTACAGTTTGGGCACTCGGTCTCTAAAAGGTTCGCCATCACTGACTTAGAACATTAATTCACAAATACTAGTGCATAATGTTTTTAGTGTCTGCTATATACCAATTAAACTTTGGTAATTCTTTTTTTCATTTGTGGTATATTGTTGTGCTAAAAATACTAGTAGTACTATTTTTTTCTCGTCAGTTTTGTGAGTCTCTGTGTCTGCTTGCCACATATTATATTTGCTGTTGATGGCAAATAGATTAGAATTTACTAGTGAAAAGGAAACATTGAGCTTCTCGAAGTTTAAATGCATATGTGTTGTTATTTGCTGGAAAGGATACTACTTTATCACTATATAGTAAAATAATAGAAGCAACCTATCATCAGTAGAAAATATTTCAACAACACTTATTTCTATCATTCTTTCTTGTGCTGAATAGAACATTTAAGTTAAAATAGGTATGAGAAAGTGAGATATGCAATTCTTGCATAAGAACTGAACTATTAAATTCCTGTTCCTTGTGGCTATTTGTCTGTTAAAGTATGATTCCTCCTTAGTACAGCTTAACACGATTGTACTTATGACTTAATGTTAACAACAACAACAACAACAACAACAATAATAAAGTTGGAAGGGATCTTGGAGGTCATCGAGTCCAACCCCCTGCACAGGGAGGAAACCCTATACAATTTCGGATAAATGGCTGTCCAGTCTCTTCTTAAAAACGTACAGTGTTGGAGCATTCGCAGTTTCTGGAGGCAGGTTGTTCCACTGGTTAATTGTTCTAACTGTCAGGAAGTTTCTCCTTAGTTCTAGGTAGCTTCTCTCTTTGGTTAGTTTCCATCCATTGCTTCTTGTCCTGCCTTCAGGCGCCTTGGAAAATAGCTTGACTCCCTCTTCTTTGTGGCAGCCCCTGAGATATTGGAGCACTGCTATCATGTCCCTCCTCGTCCTTCATTAAACTAGACATACCCAATTCCAGCAACCGTTCCTTATATGTTTTAGCCTCCAGTCCCCTAATCATCTTTGTTGCTCTTCTCTGTACTCTTTCTAGAGTCTCAACATCTTTTTTACATCATGGTGACCAAAACTGGATGCAGTATTCCAAGTGTGGCCTTACCAAGGCATTGTAAAGTGCTATTAATACTTCATGTGATCTTGATTCTATCCCTCTGTTAATGCAGCCTAGCACTGTGTTGGCTTTTTTGGCAGCTGCAGAACACTGCTATTTAAGTGATTGTCCACTAGGACTCCCAGATCCCTCTCACAGTTACTATATTGAGCAAGATATCCCCGCCTATACTATACCTGTACATTAGGTTTCTCTTGCCTAAATGTAGAACAGTGGTTCTCAACCTGTGGGTCGGGACCCCATTTGGGGTCGAATGACCATTTCACGGGGGTCGCCAAACCATGCTGTCCGCCATTTTTTCCCCTTTTCCCTAGCTATCCTACTCCCTCTTATTGGTGGCCACACCCACTTGGGGGTCACCACAACATGGGGAACTGTATTATGGGGTCACGGCATTAGAAAGGTTGAGAACCACTGATGTAGAACCTTTTTTCACCATTGAATTTCATTTTGTTAGATAGCACCCAATGTTCAAGTCTGTTGAGATCCTCCTGTAGCTTAAGCCTGTCTTCTGGAGTGTTGGCTATTCCTGCCAGCTTGGTATTGTCTGCAAATTTGATGGGTTCCTCATCTATCCCCTCGTCCAAATCGTTGATAAAGATGTTGAAGAGCACTGGCCCCAGAATAGAGCCCTGGGGCACTCCACTACACACTTCCTTCCATGTAGATACAGTTCCATTGAGGACCACATGCTGACTACGGCCGGTCAGCCAGATATGAATCCATCTGATGGTGATGCTGTCTAACCCACATTTATCTATCTTACCGAGTAGTAGGTTGTGATCTACTTTATCAAATGCCTTACTGAAGTCCAAGTAAATTATATCCACAGCATTCCTCTGATTCACTAATTTTGTTAGCGATATACAAAACACAGTATGCTGGAAGAATTTTGGCATGCTCTGTTTTTCCAGTAGATTGCTATTCCAGGTGTGGCTTGTTTAATGGAATAGAATCTTTCTTTTTAGAAGATTACTTTTAAAAGACTGCCAGCCTACCTTGGAACAGCCAGGTCGTCATGGCCCTATAGACAAACTAACCCTCCAGATTTCCTGGAGTGTTCCAATTTTGGGGATGTGGTATGTTTTGCGTTTATTTAACATATGAATAGAATTGCTTCAATCAATATAAAAATTGTTTGCCACTACTTAAATCTGGAATAACTTTTAACTTTCCATACCTTATATTCCTGGTGGTCTCTCATAAAAGCATTAACTGATCTGACCCTGCTGAATATTTTGAGATCAGCCAAGGCAGACTGAATGTTCCCACCTAAGCCAGGCTGTTTATCAGAACAATGTTTTTCAACCTTGACAACTTGAAGATGTGTAGATTTCAGCTCCCAGAATCTGCAGCCAGCATGGGCAATTCTGAGAGCTGAAGTTCACCCCTCTTCAAGTTACCAAAGTTGATAAACATTGAGAGAAAATTCATTTTCTATTTCATCCTCAAGTTTTAAGTTTGAATTGTCTGCAGTCCATTAGTATCTGTTAATTATAGTTATTTATTTGCTTCTCGGAATTCTTCTATTCATATTCAGAATTAAAATTGAATGTCCATGTCTCTCTGTGGTCATGCATGATTGTTTATATTGCTATTTATAAAAGTTTGGGAACATGTAGTATGTAATTACTGAAGACCCTGAACATTCTTGGATAGTTGTTCTTAATTTTAATTATGGCTGTCCCTAGTTCTATTCTGGCAAACTGCTCTTTGGATCTGTTTATTGCTGTGATTTGCTGTATTGAATGCAAAGTATTATCAGTGTCAGGTATATGTATTATCTGTTGTTAATTGCATCTATCTGATACAGTCTAATTTACAAGTAATTGTACTCTACACTCTTTCACAGTTAACCCTAAAGCAGTTGCAGCTATTTCATAATAGGTTCTTTGATGGCTTTAGACCTCCTGTCATGTATGAAACACCTTACCTTTCAGGATAATTCAGGAAAGTTCTGAATATTTGTTTTCTGTGTGCTTTTATAAATTATCCTTATTGGGCTGTGAAATCAAAAATTTATTTGTATGAATTGGCTTTAGCTATAATTGGCTTTTAGTATTTTGCTTTCCTTAATATTTTTATTGTCAGTTCTTAATGATTCAGAATTGTCTTGATTCTTAAAAATAGCCTATAAACATCTAAATTATATTGAATTATAGAGATATTGGATTATTTATACTTGTAAATTGACAGGTAGATCATTACATAATACTATATTACAATACTCAGTCACATAAATGAAATCAATCCTGGAGTAAAGATTCACCTAGGCAACTATAATTTAAAAGTCACAATAATATCTGAAAAAGAAAGGCAGTGCCAATAATTTAGGGAATTCCTGACTCTATGAGAGAACCTATCTAGCTGGGGAATCAAGCTTAAAAGAATATAATATAATTATGGGAGAAGTGGAGAGTTTAAATTACTGGGATAGTTCCTCAAGGGGATTTTTGTTTTATTTCTCTGTAAGCTTTAGAAAAAAATGAAATACTGTATTTTCTGGCAGTTTCATTTTTCAAGTTATTTATTGAGATTGGATATGGTACATGTAGCTTTTCATGTGCTTAGTTATTTTAGTAAACCTGTGTATTAATCCTATTTTTTCTGGACAGATCTGGGCCCAAATGTAAATTAATTTATCTGTTAGATTTAATGAGAAAGCAAATACTATGAATGTTGATTGGCAGTTTTGTCAAAGCCAGTTGTGTCCTGCTGGAAATAAATAATTTATTTAGGATATTTATAGGCAGCCTAGTGTGTTATCAGAACTTGTGTTTCACTGAAGAGGAATAAAGTTAAGAAACTCTGGTATTGTGATCAAGATGTAAAGTTCATAGTTTTACTGTGCTAAATTGCTGGAACTTAAAATATAGTAGTTAAATTAGAGATTTTGTAGTATTAGAGTAGATAGGTGATTTTTAATTGAGTTAATAAACATGGACAGATGAAGAATTATGAGATTATGAAAATACATTTCATAATTCTTTCATTCTGGAAGCTAATAACACTGAAATACTATAAAAACACATTTAAGCTTCAATTGTAAACATAAAATAAATGGAGATTTTATACAAAATGCTGTGTGAAAATGCATTTAGTATTCAGCCTTAATAATGGGTTCTTCTGATTACAGAGTTTTCCCTCTGATGAAGGATGGCCATTTGCAAAATATCTTGGAGCATGTGGAAGAATGGTAGCTGTAAACTATGTGGGAGAAGAACTATGGAGTTACTACAGTGCCCCTTGGGAAAAACGAGTGGACCTGGCATGGCAATTAATGGAAATAGCAGAACAACTGACAAACAATGGCTTTGAATTTGCACTCTACCTCCTTGATGTGAGCTTTGACAACTTTGCAGTAGGTCCTAAAGATGGAAAAGTCATAATTGTGGATGCTGAAAATGTTTTGGTGGCAGATAAAAAGTTAATCAAACAAAGTAAGTGGGCTTCTATTTTATTCAGTGGCTTTTTAACAATTTAAGCTATGCTTTGATTTTTCTTCCCTTAGTTAAAAATGATTGGTGAATCTGACAGCAACAGATTTTTAAATAGTCATAATTTTTATTTTTGCATTTATTTTTGAATAACTTGAATTTCTCATTGTTACAGAGGGTTATTTAACAATCATTAAGGATTTTTGCTGTTATGAAATATGTAATAAAAATGGTTCAGTCCTTGGAAGTAACTAGAGTAAAAAAAATTATGAAGATGTACTGTGGATATCCCAACCAATGTGTATAGCTCTGCTACTTTGCTTCTTAGCAATCATTTGTCTGGCAATAAGATGACAAAAAAAAAAAAAAACCAACCCTCTATAAAGTATCACAAATTAGGATAAGCTTTAGATTGGTAGATCCCAAACCATTATATTTTGGGTGGCATACCAATGTATGTTCTGACTTGCCTATGTACAGTGATGATTAGGTAGTGATAATTACTCTGCCATAGAGGTTTTCTTAAACTTCGTAGAAATTATAGTACTTAGTTTAGGAAAATTATTTTTTTAACATTGTTCTCCTGTAGACTTTATATTTACTTTCCTTTTCTTTAAACTGATATGAATATCCCAAACATCCTTAAAATCACGTTTGTGCCTTTTTTCAATCTGATAGTAAACATGCTAAAGCAGCTTTAAATGTTGTTTATAATTATGTACTTTAAAAGTGCATGATAAGATGCATCATCCTGTGACTGTTTTGTTACAAACTGTTACTTACTATTGTGTTTTTTATGCATTTCACAGATAAACCTGAAAACTGGGATGTATGGTATGAAAGCAAATTTGATGACTGTGATAAGGAAGCTTGTCTTTCTTTCTCAAAGGAGATTTTGTGCACTCGGGTCACTGTGGATCATAATTACTATGCTATTTGTCAGAACCTTTTATCAAGACATGCCACCTGGCATGGCACTTCTGGAGGACTTCTTCATGATCCTCCAACTGATATTGCCAAAGATGGTCAACTTGAGGCCTTGCTGGATGAATGTGCCAATCCAAAGAAGCGATATGGTAGATTCCAGGCTGCAAAAGAATTACGTGAATATCTTGGACGATTAAGTAATAATGTGAGGTAGTTCATAGTGGGTGGACAAGGAGACATGGACTAGTGAGTTCTGAACCTGAAACAAGAGCAACCAGAATGAGAAAATAAATTGCATAACACTGTTGCTACAGGAAGGTTGACAAAAGTTACATATCCTACTACAACTTGAACTACTTTTAACTGAAAGAGGAAGACTGAAAATATAATTGAATTCACTTTCTCAATCAGATTTCATTGTTTTGTAATAATGCTACACTCCTTGGAAAGTCAAGTTATATGGGCCTGTTTTAAAGGCTTTTATTTCTGATGTCATTATCCTGCTCTTATACAACTTACAAAAGAGGCATTTGCGTAGATGCTGATAATCCAAGGTGTCCTTGATCGTTTTTGTAACTGCTAGATTTTCATTTAATGTTGTGTGCTTTTTGAATACAGGATTCCTCTTATTCTGTTGTTGAATTCCTTTTGTTTCATATGTTTGTATGCCTTATTAAAGATATGCTTGTAAAAGCTGTCTTAAATGTTGTGTGAACCTAACCTAGTTATGTTGGAATTGTTTATATTTCTACTACAGATAATACTTCACATCTTGGTTAAATAGAAAACTTCATTTCAGTGTATAAAAGTATATGTTCATCAGGGAATTGAAATATACAAACTATTTCAATGAAGACAAACAGTTTGAACCTGTCATGCTTACATTGATCCAGCAGAAATAGTGGCTGTAAGACAGCCATGACTATGAAAGAATGACTCATTTCCATGGATCAACTTTAAACATGACTAAAACTAAACATTTTGTGTGTTGAAGAAGCACTAGATAAATGAAAATTAAAAAAAACATTTTGCTACCATAGTAATCATAAACCAAAGAAAATAATTATGTGTAGTCTCTGCTTAAAATAATGTACTGTAGTGGCACTAGCCTACTGACGAACATTTTAGTCCGTTATTATCATTCTACTACTAGTTAAAAACTTAGGAACAACATACAAATGGGAAAATGCCCAGCAGGTTAGCATTTATTTTGTATTAGTCACAGTTCTACTAATTTTGGGAACTAATGTTTACAGGACTTAAATTTTGAGGTTTACTATCTAATAGCTCCCTTCATTTATATGGTAGAGGGCTTCAATGCATATTGTTTAGTTGCAGTTATTATTTTTTCTCAGATGATTACTGTTTGCCTGAAATTGTTCCCGCAGATCAGGAGTTGAAGAAATTGGATCACTTCTAAAATAAACTTTTAAAAGGTATGATTTTCTTTATTTACAGCAACTATTGTAAATGTTTTCTTCACTGGAGTGATGAAGTTCTGATCCTGAAAAAAATTCCTAATTATAGCAACAATTAATTGACTACAATTATTTTAAGGTGGAGTAAGAATAAATTGTATACTAAAGCTGATAAGTGCATTACTGAAAAATGTATTTGGACAAGTGGGATATAGCAGTAGGAATGAGCTGAAAACTCCCCAAGTTTTCCAAGCTCTGAAAACATGCAGAATATGTTAAAGGTATATAAAATAAATGGCAAGGCCTATTATTATTCTCTTTGGCTTCCTTAGTCATATACTATTGCTTCTTTGCAAATTGTGTCTCTACCGTGTTACTTTCATTTAGTTGTTGAGCTCTATCCTGGGAAAATTTCTTACTGTGGTAGTTTCTTTTATCTCTAACATGGCTGAATCAGAGCACATTAGACATGTTAGTATCCTACATACATAATTTATAGAATTTGCTGGATAATATCCTGTTTATTTAAAAAATGGTAGTTTTGCCTAATTTTCTCTGGATTCTGTTACAATTTCTTCTCATAGTATTTATGTTGCTATAGTTCACACTTGAGCAAAACGGAAATGTGAGATTAAACTCTAGCCTGTTACAAAAAGTCTTGCTTTATTGCAATTTTAATTTAATACCCACACTTCTGGATGGATAAGAACCATTGTTGCTGTAGGCTTTAAACAACAACACTATCAGCTACTGAATTGGTTCAACTGCCAATGTTTCCTGGGAGTTTAAGGTTGAAATTCATCTTAAAATACTGTGCTGATAAGCAGGATTCTGATGATAAAAGGAATCCATAATTTTCAGTCTACAGGGAAAACACCTATGTGGAAAGCAATAAGTTTTATTCAATTTGCACCTATCAAGTATTTATTGTACAGGGACAATTTATATTTTTAATCATTGCCCATGAATAATGGTGAAATATTTTTGAATGAGATGTTTGGGGTTTATATGTGCATAAAAATGTCTTTTGTACTGTAACTGTTTAATTTGGTTATCAAAACTGTTTCCTGTGCCTTTATATTAAGGTTGTTTCTACAATTTCTCTTGAATAATAAACAATACTTAATTTTTTTTCTTGGTTTTGCTTAAATGTAATGCACTAGTAGTTCATTTTAATACTGTAGAGGGTTTTTACTCCACCAAGAATGGCAACAAATATAAGTGCTTTTGAAAAAAAAGAATTCATTTGTGGAGAGAAGTATCAGGACTAAAATCCCCAAATTTGGGCAAAATATTTCTTTTAAAAGTAGTTAAAGACATTACTAAGATACTTTTATATGCTTTGTATAGTAGTAAATGCTAATAAGAAATAGGATAGATTTTTACCTTAATATTGCCAAGAAACATTTAGGATTTATGGATTGAATTTTGACCTTATTTACACTCATAAAGAAATTAGGATTAGAATTTTCCCCTTACAGCTGTTGCTTTTATATAACACTGTGAATGAGTGAAACATGGAATGTATATGCTGTTGTCTTCTTTTTGGGAGCTAACCAGAGGAAGGTATACTTCATAGATTTGGAAAGTTTTGGGATATGAACTTAACTGTGTAGAAAACAAATTGGCTCAACAAACTAGCCATACAGTTGATGGTTGTAAAGCCACTTGCATGTTAAACTATCAGTTCTGGAATATGCATAACAAAAAGTGAGGATTATTAGAAAGTGAAAGTAACTGTTGAAATGGATTTCCTCACACAGAGAGATGATAGAGCAAAAGCCAATAATTTATTTCAGTTTCTGCATCTTGTGCAAAAAAGCAATTGCTGCTAAACTAAATACATTGTAGCTAAATATGTTACTTCCAGAAAAAAAGTTAACTAGTATTTTAGCTGTGCTGTGTTTCAGATCTATAGTAATTTTCTATTATTTCAGGTGTATACATTTAATTGTGATTTTGGAGTTTCTGATATTATTTCAGATCTGTTTGTACAAAGATAACTTTTGTGAAACTACCATGGTATTCTCAAAAAGTAGATCAATTTCATGTTTTTAAAACTATTTTTGGTATATTAAATCTCATTAAAAACAAAAATCTTGGCTTCTCTAAATCTGAACTTTTCTTTTTTTTACATTGAACCACTTTTCTGGAAGTCAAATCAATAAATTGCTATGCCTTGCGTATTGGTTAAGAGTTACTTTCCACCTTTCTAAAAGAGAAATGTTTGTCCATAATTGCCATGTTACACGGCCTAACCTTTTACTTTCACACACACACACACACACACACACACACACAGATGCAGCAAAGCCAAAACCATAATTGGATGTGGGCTGAGCACTGGCACAACAGAAGGAACATTTTAACATATCACTGTACAAAGATCTGAAAACAAACTTGTTTGAAAAGTTAGAACAATACTTCTTCTTATGAACCAATAATATGTACTAGAAAAAAGAGATTCTTTGAATAATGCTTTCTGAAAAAAATTACAGGGATGAGAAACTGTAATCCCTATAAAATGCTGAACAAAAGTCCCAGTAACGTTAAGTTACTTAATCATTGAGGAATACTAGGACATGAAATTCAGCACTATCTGGAAAATTTTATAACTAGGAATATAAAAATAACCTCTGATTTTCCAAGGTTAAGGAATTTCTTTTAATCATACCTAGAAAACATAACTTTATTTATTTTAATCTTACTCAATTGAATTTCTCTAAAGACAAAAAAAAAAAAAAAACAGATGATGCTTCAGTGCAGTGATACAAATTCCACAGTTCCTTGCTATTTAGTCAAGCTTGTTGGGATTATAGGTAGTCTTCAATTTACAACCAATCGTTCAACGATCGTTCAAAGTTATGGACGTTCCCAAAGCTACTTAACATTTGTTTTTGAAGTTATCACAACCGCACATACCTCCCCCATGGTCATGAGATTGCATTTTGGGTACTTGGCAACTGACTCGCCTTTATGGCCACTTGTAGCGTTCTGTATATCATTGTGATTTGCAAAGTTTTTTTTGCCAGTTTCCAATATTTACTTCTGATCTCTGGTAAAAAAAATGCCTATTGGAGAAAATGGATTGATTGTGCTTGCTTAACAATTGCTGTATTCATTTAATGATCACCACAAAAATTGTCAAAAACTCAAGTCCAATCATGCAATCCATTGACTTATAACAATAACTTATGATCATAATTCAAGACACAGTTATGATCATGTGAAAGACTACCTATAATGGAGATTGATTTAAAACATCTCTTGGCTTTTCCTAGCATACTACAAAAAAACTTTAATAAATAACATTTATTATATAAAAGGTAAGAATCCAGTAAGACAGAATTCAAGTGACTGCTATAAAGCAAATGTGTTGTCAGTGATTAGATTTATATGTAGATTCTTGAGTCTCTTATGAGCCACAAATAATGGGATGGGCAAGCCTGGTTTCCTTTGCTGTTTATCTTGATAATGTACAGATCCAGGAGGTTGTTTTATGATTGTGAGAGAACTGTTTTGAAACATCTTGTGGACCTCAAGTTCCCTAATCTTTCTCTGATGCAATATGATTAACTTTTGGGGTACTGTTTTATTGTGGAAAGGGGAAATGGTGCAGAGATGAAGTAGCTAAGTCTTTGTTGCATTACTGATTTAAAGAGATATCTATGTTTTGCAAAATCTACAGAGGCATGAAATTTTTTGCTCCTATCGTCAATCCCTATTTTGATGTCTACTTCTGTTCTGCTTACAGCCAAATAATGTCTTGATTTTGTGTGCAAAGCATTTTATAAAGAAAACATTAGGTTGATTCCATCAGATTTATTTTCATCCTCCTTCTGGCTTTTTCAGCCAGTGGAAAAAATACCTGCCAATTATACTACTACAGCAGGAATGGAGTGGGTCTGGCTCCAAGACTCTTTTAAGCTCCTTCTCATGACCCTCCTCCTACACTCATTGTATTGCAACTCAAGCTGGATTTTTTTTTTTTTAAAAAAAAATAGAAATCAGAAGCAGAGCTGAGTCACAAGCAGCATTTTCACTTAGGATTTCTCCTGCTTTTCTTTTCTGTGTAGATATCAAAAGCTGATTTCAAAATTCCTCCATGTAATTTGTTCTGAAGGTAATAGGCCTGTTATAACATTTCATTGTTGTGCTATTGCACTATTAGTTCATTTTACTGTTACATGATTTCAAGTGTCTTGTTTTCTTTACATTTCATGTTCCAGCTGTGACCAGCTCTTTGGGCGGGGGGAGACAATAATAGAATAGCAACAGATAATACCAGCATTATCTTGAAATGACTATTAAGTGTCTTTTTAAGCCTCATCTGATTTCATCTCTGATGTACTGGGTAGTGAAATGTAACAGGTTTGAAATGCCTGGCAGCTGCCTTTGGATGCTGTTGGTTTAAGGCAGGCATGTCAAACTGCCAGCCCATGGGTCGGATGCATCATACTGAAACTGTGCCCATCGGCAATGGGGAAAAAGTCGTGATACGTTGCACGATGTCATGAGTTTGACATGCCTGGCTTAAGGCGATATAATGCTACTTCAGCACTAATATTGTTCAAGATTACTTAATGTTATCTCACAAATACGTTGGTGACAGGATCAATTCAATAATATGTAGACATGGAAGAAAAAAATTGTTTGACTGGTTTTTGTTTACAAGTGTTGAAAGGCCCGTAAATTCAGTAGGGGATGATGACTCCCTGAAGTTTCTTTTTGTTAAATAGCAGTGCTCATTATGAGCATTGAAGGAGTAAAACAAATACCTGATCTAAGAACTTTAAACAACCAAGGCCCTAGGTATTTTCACATGCTGGCAAACATGTATATAATGGATTGGTTTGAGCTGTGTGAGAAGCTCTCTTTGAATCTAAACTGCAGAATCCAATGAAGCAAGCTGCTTCTAACAAAATGACACATTGATAAGATTGTCATATTGAAACAATAAATTTAAGTCTAATTTTCCATGGATAGTTTTGTCTCTCTTTGTTCATACAACATACAGTGCATGTATAACAAACTGGAATTTTAAAACCGTAATTTGCTGAATAGATCATGACCTAGTTTGCACTTTACACTAATTAATAGGTAGATCATACTTGAGAAAACCAAGTAAATCACATTATGGTTTAGAACAGTGGTTCTCAACCTGTGGGTCGGGACCCCATTTGGGGTCGAACGACCATTTCACGGGGGTTGCCAAACAACGCAGTCTGCCATTTTTCCCCCTTTTCCTTAGCTGTGCTACTCCCTTTTATTCTATTGGCTTTTGAAAGCCAATAGAATAGACTCTCTTGAATAGAGTCTAATTCTATTGGCTTTCAAAAGCCAATAGGAATTGTCCAGGCTGTCTCTGCCCTGCTGAGCCCGCCAAAAGTCCCATTCTGCAAACGGTGCTGCACCAGTTGAGTAGTCCTCGACTTACAACCGGTTGAGTAGTCCTCGACTTATGACCGGTTGGGGGTCGCGGCATTAAAAAGGTTGAGAACCACTGGTTTAGAATGATGTATGAATGAAAACTATTTTATTTCAGGAGAGATTCCATTGTTTTGGGCTGCTACCATTTCTATTAACCTTGATCAGAGTGTCCAGCACAATTGAAGGATATATCTAGTTAAGTTCTTTTATTTTTCAAATTGGCCATTGTAATAACAGCAATAAAAATAATACTCCTAAAACTGAAATAAATTAAAATTATAAAATTTTAATAAAAATAAAATTTAAATAAAATCAATTATGCCCAAAGAATTTTTGAATGAGTCTGTTCTATACAAATCAGGACAGATTTAAACAGACTTTCTAAGAATAGCTGTGCAAATGTTGAAGTATAATGATTGAAAGAACCAATTTGGCTAAGAATAGGAATACCTCATATTTATCTGGATTCACTGATAGAATGAGGGGAAGCAGTTTGGTCATTGATATCAAATTTAATAAAATATTACTTTAAGCTGGAGATGATGTGGGTAAAGTTTGTATTCTATTCTTACATGGCATATTAAAATAAAATTAAAATAAAAAACAATTACAAATAATACAAAAGTTAAATTACAAAGCAGCTGAGAAACATCAAACCCAAATCACTAACATAGTCAAGAAATGGGTGCGTGCTGTGAGCTTAACCTTCTCATTAACAGTTCATAGTTGATTAATGCATGAATTCTGCCATTTCTCTGAGAAATGTATTTGTGCAATAAACTTTTAATACCCATTCTGTGTATATTAACAATTTGTTTCCTTGTTAATTTGAGTGGGTGAAGGAAGTATCAAGACAAATGTTCTTGTATTAAAGTATTAATTTTGCAGTTTTAATGGAAAATAATTTTATATATTGTTAGAGTAAGAAATAATTAGATATTACAGCATATGTAGTATAATCTTTAGTGCAGTGGTTTTCAACCTTTCTAATGCCGTGACCCCATAATACAGTTCCCCATGTTGTGGTGACCCCCAACCACTTATACATCACCGGGTGCCAGGGGCATGGCCAAAGAAAAGGGAAAAAAATGGCGGACAGCCTTGTTTGGCGACCCCCATGAAATGGTCGTTCGACCCCAAATGGGGTCCTGACCCACAGGTTGAGAACAACTGCTTTAGTGTGATCTGCTTTCCTACTTCTCTTGAAGTGAGAATGTTTTAAAAATACTTCATTGCCACTTTTTTTCCAAATCATTTGCCTCAAAAGTACGTATATGATGTGACATCTTTTAATATTTTTAAGTAACATTAATAATCTGGCATATTTAAAACCTCATAATCAAAACTCATAACTGAAGTACACCGCTGGAAATTCTCTCAGTTGCATTTTGTCATGCCTTAGATATTGTAATTCTTTTGAATTACGATTTTGAAATTATTGTCAAAAACATTTGGATGATAGATATTTCCTCATTCTATATAAATCAATTATTATTTACATCAAGTGTTATTATACTCTTCCTTTGAGGCTTCAGGAATACTTCGTTCCTCAGATTTTCATCTTGGCTTTGAGAGCAGTGAATAAGCATGCTCTAAAAGGGAAAACATTAAATGAAAACAATGTAGTTTATTAGGAGTTTTTGAAATACTATTCCATTAAAGCAGATATTTCTTTTTCAGCAG